CTTATCCTCTCGTTATCGGTTGCACGCATCCGGAGACGCCGATGCAGCACTCACGGGTCAAGCTGGTGTAGGTATCATTCTAAGCTCCAAGGCTGAGCCATCGTTCATTGATTGGATTCCGGTGAACAGCCGTTTATGTGCAGCCCGTTTGACGACATCAGCTAAGGAGGATTCACGAAGCAATACAAAACGCTGTTTGTTTGTGATTTCCGTTTATGCTCCCACCGACTGCAGTCCAAATGCTGTCAAGGGCACATTCTATCACGAACTGAACGCGCTACTATGCAGTGCTACTAGTTCAGTTATTATAGTACTTGCGGGGGATATGAACGCGCAAGTAGGGCGTCTGAGCTCTTCAGAAGCTCAGCTGGGTGGTAATTATGGGCTTAACTCCGAACGGACCGACATCGGTGATTGTCTGCTGCAGCTGTGTGCAGAGCACCAGTTGTTTCTTAGTAGCACTGCTTTTAGACACAGTGAGCGCCGAAGTGCCACTTGACATCCTCCTGTAGCTGACCAGCATTGGACCCAAATTGTCCACATGGCCATAAGTTACAGATGGCGTGGTTCCATCCTGGATTGTCGCTCGTACTGGAGTACCTGCGTCGACTCTGATCATGCCTTGGTACGCTGTCGTTTCTCCATGAACTTTACCGGGAGGCGCACCAAGCGTCTCCTCTGATTGGCAACTGGGAAATTGTCTCAGCCCTCGATCAGGCAATCCTATGAAGACGCACTGCGTACCGAACTTTCGCTGTCTTGTCCTAATGACGCTGAGCTTCAGTGGAATAGGATCTCGGGCGCCATGCACGACGCAGGAGCATCTGCTTGTGGCACTACCCATCGTCACCGCACCAGCCACTGGATATCCGAGAGGTCAGTGATCCTGTTGGAATCTAGAAAAATCTTCCCGGCTGGCTTTGAACACAATGTGACCAGACGGGCTATTAGGCATGAACTAAAGCGGAGTCTACATGCTGACAAGGAAGCCTGGTGGACCAGTAGGGCTCAAGAAATGGAAGAGGCAGTAGCAGTATGCTTTTCCCGCAAGCTCTTACAGCTGATCCGCACCACTGGTCCAACAAAACCAAACGTCAGTGAGACCATCGGAGACAGCGCGGGTGCACTGATACACAATAAGGAGCGCTGTATGGCTTGTTGGGCGGATCACTTTCAAGATCAGTTCAGCTGGTCCGCTGCTCCCGGACCTCTTCCTACTCAGGTGATGCAGGACGAGCCATGGACGGTTAGTTTAGAGCCTCCGTCGGAGGCGGAGGTCCGAAACGCGATCACAGCCCTCAATCGTTTTCGTGCCGCTGGCCCGGATTCCCTCCCACCTGCACTATTTAAGGATGGAGATGAGGTCCTCTGCAAAGCACTGACCTCCGTATTCGACCATATCTGAAAAGAAGTGTCTCGGCTAATTTGAGCGAATCGTATATAGTGGCAATATACAAGAAGAGCAGTCGCACAGCCTGTTCTAACCACATGGGTATTAGCCTAACGCCAGTTGTGACAAAATTACTGGCTTCGATTCTCGTTCGTCGTTTCACGGGGATATCGGATTAGGGAAAGCAGGCAGGTTTTCGCTCAGGACATGGCTGGGTAGACCATACATTCACTCTGCGGCAGGTTGAAGGTCAGCGTCACGCATGCCGGAAAGCGACAATAGCTGTGTTTTTTGATTTTAAGGGTGCTTTTGATTCAGTCGATTGATGCATTCTGTTCGAACTACTTGTGCGGAAAGGTGTTCCCACGAAATTTGTGAACATCGTACGTGCTTTATGCTCAAACACTACAGGCCGCGTCAGGGTGTGCAATGACCTGTCGGGTGGCTTTCCGAATACAAGTAGCGTTTATCAGGGTTGTCCGATTTCCCCATTTTTGTTCACTTTTTTGTGGATTCTATCACTGGTTGTTCTCTTGTGGAATCTCACGATGTAGGCGTTGACGTGCTGCCTGGTGAAAGATTCATCATCATTCATTATACACATCAGCTAGAGTTGGGAAAACACCTCCGCTATTGTGCCGCAATACATGAAGGAAATACATACATACATATAATACAATACACAAAGGAAAAATAGATACAACAGTTGGATGCCAGCTGAGCTACCAGCAACGGATAGGCATTGTTCCGGTAAGCTTCCAGCCAGCTACTAGGCAAAAAGAAAAAAATTATGTTTTACCCTGGGAAATGTGATCGTAGATAGAGGGGAGGCTAAAAGGGATGGGGAGGGACAAAGAAACAGCACAAACGCCACTGAGCTCGGCTCCTTGGCATGTCAGCAAGTGTATCCAGCCAAACTTGTTCACCGTCTTTTGGACCCCAACCAGGGAGCCGTGACGTTCCAACCGAGGCTAGCTCCGAAGTGAGTGACTTCATTCCTCGTGACCAATTCATCGCTTGGCTTTTTTGGTGAAAGATTAGATGATCTTGATTATGCGGATGATATCGTCTTGCTTTTCGATGATGTTGCGACGGCACAATCAACCCTGAATAGCATGTCTAGTGGTCCCATTATTTGATATGCACTTTGCACCTTTAAATGGCAAAATGTTGCTGCAGGACCACCAGCCACTTTACGATCCCTTGACCTTTACTAACGAAAAACTCGAGGTGGCAGATCAACTCACTTATATTGGCAGCTGCATCAGCAACGATGAGGGCATAGAAACTGATGTCAGCCCACGCATTGTAAAGTCCAGAGTTGCCTTCTTGAACCTGCGACATCTTTGGCGACGGAAGGGAACTTCCCTCCGTTTGAAAGGCCATGTATACAAGGCCACAGTGAAGGTCGTTCTGCTGTATGGTAGTGAGACTTGTCCCCTTCGGTCTGAAGATCTGAGGCGTCTTCAAGTCTTTAATCATCGTTGTCTGCGAAGCATTGCTGGTGTCGAATGGCATCAGCGTGTCCTCAACCATGATGTTCGTAGGTGAGTACTAGGTGGTGATAATCATGTTAGCTCCGTAGAACAACAGATAGCACTGAATAAGTTGCGTTGGCTTAGGCACGTGCTACGTATGCCTGGTCACCTCTTACCTAGGAGGGCCTTGTTTAGTCTGTCAGGTGTAGGATGGCGCATGGCTCGAGGTGGACAGAAGTTGACTTGGCAGCGGGAAATGAAGTCACTGACGACCAAACTGGGTGCCGTTGGTCCGTCTCGCCTTCCGGGCTGGAGTCCACGTGACTCGCCTTGTGCTTAGCTCTAGACTTTGCGGGACATGGCACGCAACCGACACCAGTGGCGCGTCTGCTGGCGTCTCCTAATCAGGTTGCCTATTTAAAGTGTGTGGTGCTGAGTTATCTGCGGGATAATTGCTGATTATGACGCGTGGTAGTGAAAGCCGCAAGGTAGCTGTCTCGCCAATGCCGCCTTATCTTTGCACGATAGCCGGCTGTTTGTGACGGTATGTTGTCTACACAAGGTGTGGGCGTTTTATCCCTGAATGTTTGCTTAGGACGTTAAGGTTTTCAGGTTAGTCCCCCCTCACTCTCTCCCTCTTATTATTCTTTATTTCATTGGTCCTCATGTTTGTGTGCCAGCGAAGCATCAGTTCAAATGGCTGGTGTACTGCTCTTGTTGATGGTGATGAATAGCGCCACTTTTATCGCCAGCCTACCATAGTCGCCTTTTTAGACATCTGAACTGCTTTCGACTTGGTCGATCGGCCTACTTTATGATCTTGTCTGCAAATGAGTGGAGTACGCGAAAGATATGCCGCCATATTACTAGCTTTATACAACAATGTCTCTGGCAGTGAGAGCTTATGGTCAGCTCCCTTCACCTTTCGCCATCACTAGCGGTGTACGATATGGTTGTCCCATATCCCCATTTATCTTCAACTTTGTGGATGAGGATGTCTTGCTAAACGCTCTGGAAGGTCTCCGAGGTTCTGGCGCGGAGTTTCTTTCAGGCAACTGCGCGACTGACTTGGATTGTTCTTATGCTATTGCCTTGCATGGTGACGACCTACAGATCATGTAAATCGTTCAATTTGCTTGGTACTTGTAGCTACCAACTATGGCATGTCCTTTTCCCCCCTCGAAATGCAAGGTGCTACTCTAGGATTCACATCCACCTGCTCCCATGCTGTTTCTTGAGGGCGTGCAGCTCGAACAAGTAGATAGTGTCATCTACTTTGGGCGCTGCTTCTCTTCTTATGGCACCATTGATAGATTTCTACCCGTATTACCAAAACTCGATCGGCTTTCGGTGATCTGTGGCGCTCTCGTGACGCTTCACTCTCGGTAAAGAGCAGAGTCTGCAATGCCTATGTTTGTACAGAAGTGAGTCCTGGCCGATGCGTGTAAATGATTCACGTCGGATTTCAGCCTTTGACAACCCTTCTCTGCGGAAGATAGCTCGTGTGTGGTGGGAACACCACATTTGCAACGTCGATGTTAGACGTCGCGTCCTGGGTAACACCGGCCTTCCTCTCGATATGCTAATATCGCTGCGCCAACTATGGTGGGTAGGTCTCGTCCTACGCATGCCCTGCGATCGTTTACCACAGTGCGCTCTATTCACTCGCGCAGAGTCGCCCTGGAAGAATTCGCGCGGTGGTCAGCCTGCCACCTACCGACAAAACGTCAAAGCGCTGACTTTCAGTCTAGCTGTTGTCGACCCCCTACATCTTCCAGGCTGGGAAGCCAGATGAAGAACATCGCTGGTTGAAGGCTTATGGACATGGCGCGTAAATGAGGCAAATGAAATTCCTGCATAAGTCTACACTGACAAAAAAGGCAAAACGGCGTGTATTGTGTATTATCCATTTTGATGTCATTGTACTTATTATGCCCATTTATTCCATGCTTTTCGATAGCTCGATATCTATACTATAGACAGTGATACATATCGAGTCGTAAAACGGTTCGTCTTTATTAACCTTCTTGACTAAAGCTGTGTAAAACTGGATTAGTTCTTAGATAGTGATACATGTTAAACAATGAACAACTTTGTAGCTGAACTTAATCTTGGTGTTTTCCATCTAGCGCCAGACGTTTTTCTTAACTATTGGCCTGTGCAACAGAGTTATGGTCTGTGCTGGTGCAGGAACTTTTTCACGGTACTTACGCGAATACTTGCCTCAGCAATCGTCATTCAGTGATCAGTTTGTTGATCTATTACGAGTCTAGTTGGATAATTTGAGCTTCTTCCTTGCCTTGATTACTATCTCACCAAGCCGTTGATATTCAAAGTCAAGGGGTTGTTCACTTCTTTTTCCGCTGTCGCATTTTACTTTAGCTCTTGTCCAACAAAATGCCGGCCATAATATTTTTAGGACGATCCTGGGCATTTGCTTCAGACGATTTCGTGTTTTCCGCGGCGTTTGATATAGTGTTGCGGGTGATATGGTTTGTGACATCTTTCTCCTTTTTAATAATTCCTTTTAGTGCAATTATTATGGGGATACCTTTTGCAGTGGAACACAATTTTAATAAATGCCTTCCTGGAACTTTGCAAATCGTAGGTTTCTCATTTCGTCAAACATCTCTCCAGGTGTTTTTCTCCTTGTTATTTTCACTGGAGCTGATCGTGATACTTGTGGATTTAACATTGTCGCTTTTAAGCGCACGAGGTGGAATTATGGATGTGTCCAAACGCTCTTGTGTGCCTTTCGTTCTACTGGGGTTTTACATTCTATCGTTTCTACAGTTGCCTCTTCACTGCGTGAACATTTATTTCGCCGTCTCCACCTACAAATCTACGTGTTCGAAAAATGTAAGCAATCTCAAGGCATCTGCCCTAGTATCTATTTCTTATTCACTCATTTCGCCAACGTTATGGGCTCTGATTACTTGTGCTCTTCAATCCACCACATTGTGGTTCCACTCATTAATCGGCTTACAAATCAGCAGCTATCACATCATTTTACAGCTTTGACAACAAAATGATTCCAAAATATGTATGTGCTTTTAGGGCAACGCAACACTATCGCCCTCGTCTTGTTACTAGTAAGCCGATAGTTCTATATGACCTTAGAGGGACAGTTATCCATCAGTTCTGACGCGTAATATCGTTTTGGATTGCAGCTGCTCTTGGTCATTCTTCATGATTGGAGATGGGTGCATCCACTCCCATCCACACCATCACTATCATCCTTGACATAGCTCCGGCGGCTTATGTGATATATTAACGGTTGTGAGCTTGAGTAGGATACACCAGACGGATTACATTTATGTCGATGGAGAAGACGCAGGCCTGTGGGTAAGGCCTTAATTATCCACAAGCTTCGGGACACAAGCTACAATAGAACCATCGTTGGGCTGTAACCCATAAAAGAAAAATGATAGTTTCTAACAGCATAGAAGCAATAACAACGTAAGAATGTAAGTTCACGTCGTTCTCCTCCGCCGATAAACGATGAGTAAAAGTAGCAGGTACATAAATTAAACTTCGCGATTACCTAACCCATACAGTCTTGTTCTTTGTTGTTGGATGAGCGTGCTATCAGTATTAATACGGATCTCAAAGGATGTAAGGGAATAATCATGTGTGACACAAGGTGATTCCATTGCAGACGGGTGGGTTTTGTGAGGGGACCGATGAATCTGTGGAGTTGTATGTCATTAATTCGGTGCGATCGTTTTCGTATCCCCTAGGTGCCAAATGGCGTAAAGAGACAGTGTCCTCGCGACCATCCGACAGCTGAACATGAGCGTATTCTGAGTTACATTCTAGCAAACCAATTTCCTCGACAAAAGGATGATGTTTTGAGGAATGCACATTTTTGCGAAGGAGGACATCCAGGTGCTAGTAACCATTGTGGTAGGTTAATTCCAACTGGTAACTTTACTATACATTAGTGGTAGTGCGTAGCAATGAACGAATAGAATGTGGCACTTCTGGTGGCATGCACTCTCGCTGTTCGAATAGCAGACTTCGTGACTATAGACAGCGTAATGACCCTCCATAATATAGCATTGAGTTGCCCCACTTGCCCGTTGCATTGGGGATTGTAGCTTGTGGTTCTGCTGGTCGCTACGCCACACTCATGTATGAATTTTTTCATCTCTGACATGAACGAAGAATCGCCGTCAGAGAATGCATACTATTTTACCCCAAAAATAGAAAACAATTAAGTAAGCTTGTGTATGATGGTGGAAACCGTCATATCAGGTCAGGCATATGCGAACTCGAGCGATAACTCGTTGATAACTGTAGGTAGCGGTTGCGCAAGGCCAAAGGTACTTGTCTCTTGAATTCCATGCTTAGTCGTTCGGAAGGTTGAGTTGCTTTGATTAACGGATTATTGACTGGTACGCAAAACTTGGGCTTAAGTTGAAGGCATATAGAACAGTGATGGATTACTTATTTCACATTCCGCAAGGAATGTGGCCAATTATTGACCCGCACGAAGTATAAAAGTCGAACAACGCCAGAATGGCATATAACTTCGTTGATACGCTTCAGATCATAGAGTGAATGGTGGATTGCACAATATACTCTCTATAGTGTGTCGGCCGCGGTATTCTATGTAATTAATAAATAATCTGTCAGCTGTACGCCGTAACGGCGCTTCACTGCCGCGCGACCACCACCAGTCGCGCGTGGACTGAGTATACCGCGAGGACGCCCACCCCTACTCGGATTCGGACCGGTGACCTTATGGTTGCAAACGAAACGCGCAGACCACTCGGCCACCGGCCGGCGGAATCCTATGTACCAAATCGATATAGCACATCGTAAATTTAAGGAGCTCGATACGCTTTCTCTGGATTTTATCGCTTTTATCTTTCCTCTCAGCTTCGTATCATACATGATAGCTACTGAGCGTTGGTCCTTTATCAGTTCAAAATGGATTCCTAGTAGATATTCCCGTTATTTTCTGATAGCTTCACTACCGGCCACTGTTCATGAGAAAAGTGCTACCGGTCGATCGTTCTGACTGTGTTGCAAAAATAGCGACATCTGATGGATCAGTCACAATCACTAATGGTATAATTCTGTCGACAGCTTTTTCAGGGACTTCTTTGTATATTTCTGCCTCTAATGCGCGTCCAAAACATTATTTGGTAGTGCAAAAGTCTTACTGTGATTGAGCAGATGGATCTTGTCCGAAAAGTGTGAGAACCACTGGGAGTAGTAGGCAACATCCCAACTACACTTCGTTGTGATTTGAGACCCATTAGTGCAGGTATTTTCATTAGGGCTTAAAGCGCTCAGGTCCCGGTTTCACTGTGCCTAATGAAATCTTGCAATCAAGTAAAAGAATTTCTTGGGCCGCAAATTTGCATTTTTTACGGTTTAGGGTTATTTCATACGACGCGTAACAAGCTCTGAGGACTTCTATTATGTTCTGTAGAATCTTTGCCACACAGTGATACTATCGATCTAGCCAAATGTTCCCTTTAACTTTTTTGGCAAAGCAATTCCTCCATACTTCTTTGAAAGAATGCAGCACCGTTGCTTAACCTAAAAGGTATACGATGGAATTTATGTAAGTTATTGCTTGCTTTAAACGTTGTATCGTACTTCTCCTTTACAGGGAGTGGATAATAGGCACGCTATAGATCATGATTACTGTACATCACAAAACGAGATGGCTTCTCAATTAAGCCATCTGTGCGCGGTGAAGGATAGGCATCCAGTTCAACGAAACTGTTTGTGGTTTGGCTATAATCGAAAACCATTCATTTCTTTTGGCGTTCGTCTGTGGTGACAAGAATTTGTGTACGCCAAGGTGATTTCGTAGACTATCAGTTTGGATGAAATTCTCGTCTGCAGAATTATGCTTCCTTGACTTGGTGCATAATGGGAGATAGATGCGCGAACAGGGCAGGGGAAGGTAGCTGAGCAGCTAGAAGGCCACATAAAGACAATGGTAGTCGATTACCATGTTATGAATGTGCAGAGGACAGGGCTGGCCCCCGGAGCAACGACATCCTTTGCAAGCCACCACTAATCGAGGTGGCATGTAAGCTGCTAAGGCGACTACTGATTATTTTTAAGTAGTAGCACCTTCATAACATGCAAAACAGTGGAGGATGAGCCGCGCTAAATCGCAGTTAGACATCAGTCATGGCGGTCCGCTACCGTCGCCCATGGCTCAGTGACATAAGTCGTTGACTCGCAAGAATAAGGTCGTGGGTTCGAATCTGGCGGGATTCGGCGGTTGCACGTTACCGACGAAACGGACGAAACGGCCGTCTGGCACTTTCCTGGATGTGTGATGACTGTCTGCCTGTGTCTAACTGCGACGAATGTGAATACTTCATATGTTATGTTTAACCACGATCTGCGGTACAGATGTAGTGCCATAGGAATCTTGGCGGAATATGAAAACGATATGAATGAAAAAGAAAATAATAGGCAGCAATTTTTGTCCAATTTTCTACTCACAGTTTTTGAGTTTTTTTGAATTTTGTTTTATTAAGGTAAAGAGCATCACCGCAACATGCAAAGATACACGTCCACCACTGACATCGGTCTTGGCCCAAAAGTTCCACGGTCTCTGACCAGTGACACCCTATGGGACCTGAACCAAAGAGTCGAGATCGACCGACCGCCAGCCTTTTCACACAGTTTCTCTCGATCTCAGGTTGTCCACCGCGCCGTCTCCTTCAGCCCTGCTCAGCAACCGCGAACAATGCACGACGCAGAAGGCGTTGAGCGAGCATGCGCAACGCGTGACGAGGCCGCTGCGGTTGACGCAGGGAAAATCCTGTCGAATCATTGGCTGTCTAACCTCCGCATTGTTTACTTGGTGCAGGCACCACTCAAGGCCAATGGACCGCAAGCAGCGGTGCTCGAAGACAGACAGACGGCGCAGATCAACGGTTTGAACAGACTACGTCTCGCAACCGTGCAGCAGTACAGCGCGGCTAATCGCACAATAGACCCGCACTTTGATGGAGAGACGCATATCATGACGGTGCCACAAGTGTTTCACTCTGGAGAAGTCAAGACGTTCTTTTGAGATACGCATCGAAATCTCGTCTTTAACAGCTCCGCCAGCGGGGATGCAACTTCCTAGGTAGACGAAACTCTCCACAACCTCCAGTCTCTCGCCACCGGGTCGGAGGTGATATAAGTATCTGCCAGTCTTGAAAATGTACTTGCTACTTGAACCGTGCAATGTGCGTACCATACTTTGACGCTTCAATCGCCAAGTGGATAAGTGCAAGCTGAACGGCCTGAGGACCGTCACCCAGCAAGACGATATCATCAGCGTAGTCCAAGTCAGCTACTCGACTACCTGGAAGGAGCTCAATGTCAACGTTTAACAAATCTTCTAAAGCATTATTGAGGACATCCTCAATGGCAAAGTTAGAGAGGAATGGGGGATAGGGCACCCTTGTCGAACACCATTAATGACAACAGAGAAAGTCGAGGGTTATCATATGCCCTAACTCTGCACGAAATCAGACCATACACGGTGAGAGCAATTACAGCGTTGTGCTGGAGTCTTGTAAACGGGTTTCAGTTAGGCTGCAAATGTCGATGGAGAAGGTTTCCCAAATGCGCGTAAGAGCAGCTTGTGGTCCAACCTGCATAAGCTAACTTGAAGAGCGAGCGAGGTGCAATAAAAGCCTTGCTGTTGGAATTGGATTGTGTGCGATCGGTTTTGTACGGTTCATTTATGAGACTAGAAGTAGGGTTTTTATTTGCAGAGTGCTTTTAGAGACTTGAAATGGGAGGTGGTTGCCAAGAACAGGATGGTTGGATAAAGATGGAACGAAGAACGTGGTTTGCGGTGCGGTGGAGTGAGATTTAGAATG